CAATTCAACCCCGATTATCCGTTATGCGACGTACAATTCCCCGGATTCGACAACGGTGTCAATACCGCCTACGATTATTACGACTATTCAATCGGTCCCGCCGACTATCCGACCGCTACTTCAAACTACTCCGTGTGGGATCATCAATACGATTATTACGAGGCCATTCCAGAACCGGGGTTCCAAATCGATGTCCAGACATTCGTACATATTCTAACACAGGGAAGTATGAAACAAAAAGCAGCAGTGGTTTCGATCCTTCGAGGCTCGATAATCGCACTCATGATCGACGAAAGGGCTCACATGCAACACTTGTTCCACACGCTCGTCGAATCGTGCGAGGGCCCGCTGTTGAATGTAGTTGCTGTAGACGTGTTGTCGGACCAAGAGGGGGTTGTAAATGCAGCTGTATCTCTCCTAGGGTGAGTTCAAGATTGATTTTTTACGTCTTTTTTTTTCTTTTATTATTTATTATGCATATGTAATTAAGTGGTTATTTGACTACCATGTGTTACGACAGAGCGAATTCGATCATGAAACTTATGGCGAAGCTAAGGAAGACTCATCATGCATTCAATTTGACGAAAGTTCTGTCGAATAAGTTCTTGCACGTAATGACTCACAGTTTCGGCTCGATGGTGGTCGAGAGGTGCTTAATGCTCTTCGGCTATGAGGCTAACAAGGTAAAATTCCCAATCCTCCAATTGCAGCTTTTATTTATTGTAATTTGTAACACAAATTTAATGTGATGCCTTTTTGTTTTTATTGCCTCAGATAATCTATGAAAAAGCAATCATTCATTACAAGCAATTGGCCACGCATAAAACGGGGTGCCGAGCACTGAATCACTGCATCAAATATATCGAGGGCGAACAAAGGTTGAAGCTTCTCAATCTCTTAGCCGACATCTCGGATTGTCTCTCCTTCGATCCATACGGGTACTAACAAAAAATCTCCGTTTCTTGATTTTTCTCATCACACACATATATATACTTGTATAACTTTTTGTATAATATGATCAAGAATTTGTTGGCTATTGCTTTTTATGCAGGAACTATGTTGTGCAGAGAGTACTCGAACAAACAAACGAACAAGTCAACAAGAAGATATTATGCCTCCTCGAAAAACATTTTCTAGAACTGGCCCATCTAAAAGGAGGAAGCCACGTCGTCGAGAAATGCATGAAAACCTCGGATGATGGTCTGCTTAGTGTGGTCAAAGCAATATTAGAGCGCCCCGAGACAGCTTTCGCTCTCGCCCGAGATGATTTCGGAAACTACGTCATTCAAAATGCCTTGAGAATCACTAGGGTAAAAACACTCTTCCTTTTTCAAGTTAAAAATACGATCTTTATATAAAATATATGATCTTTATATATATATATTTACTATAGCTCTTGTGTTTTATGAGACCTTGAGAATCAGTAGTGTAAAAACACTCTTCTTATATATATATATATATATATATATATATATATATATATATATATATATATATATATATATATATATATATATATATATATATATATATATATATATATATATATATATATATATATATATATATATATATTTACTATAGCTCTTGTGTTTTATGAGCATCTAACGGTTTTTTTTTTCTCGTTTTTCAATTTACAGGCACGGGGTTTTAGCGGCTCGTATAATAACTTGGTGAGATGTCTGTTGCCTTACTGTAGAGAGTTGAACCAAAGCAAACCGGGAAAGTGTGTGATCGGTATTTTGAACGAAGGTCGTCTGTATCAAAGGGCAGAGAGTGGAAGAAAGGATTCAATCCTGTGAAGTAATAGTACATGTGGTGATTTGTTGCTCGTCGTTAACTGTACGAAGATGTGAGTTCTTGTGGTAGCCATTCGGAAGAACATTTCTATATATTTCTAGGACTTTTTGTTCGTGTCACGGTTGTTTATTTTGTGTCTGTTTGTTAACGGTTTTATATATTTTGTAGGATTTTTTGTTCATGTCAAAGTTGTTTTATTTTGTGTCTGTTTGAACGGTTATATATATTTTGTAGGGTTTTTTGTTAGTGTCAAAGTTGTTTTATTTTGTGTCTGTTTGAACGGTTATATTTTGTAGGATTTGTGATTTTTATTATTGAAATGTTTTGGTGTGATTTTTAGGTATGTTCTTTGAGTAACGATGTGATTAATGTTGTATATAAGTATACATATACAGTTTGTAATTTTTATTCAGTGTGTTTGGAGTAGGGGTCTAAACGAGCCGAGCTCGAGTCGAGCTCGCCTTATTTCGTGAGCTCGAACTCGAGAAGCCTATAAGTTTTAGCTCGAGCTCGAGTTCGATGTGTTTCTTAGGAGTTCGAGCTCGCGCTCGAGCTCGTATACAAAACGAGCCCGAGCTCGAGCTCGGCACAACTAAAAACCCATCCATCTAATTTATTTTTTCAATTAAAAAAATATTATTATTCTTTTCTTTTTATTTATTATTAATAATATCCATTATTATATATTATTTATATGTATTAAAAAATATAGAGAAAAGGTACAGCTCGCGAGCCTTGCGAGCTGTCGAACAACTGAAATGAAGCTCGAGCTCGACTCGTCGAAAAGCTCGGGCTTGTGAGCTTGAATACAAGCTTTTTTCGAGCAAGCTTCGAAAGCTCGCGAGCCGGCTCGTCTCATTTACATCCCTAGTTTAGATCACTACTCCAAATACATGAAGGTTTATAATGAGGATATCTGGACATGAAAAACAGGATGAAAAAGTCAAACCGGAGAAAGAAAGGGTCCGTTTAGCTTAAGAGTTAATAAGTTATTACATAAGAACTTATAAACTCTTAAATATCTTAAAAGGTATTTTTAACTTGTGAGAACCGGACCTGACGCGAAACCGGATAGGCATTTGGGTCACGGTTGAACCGGTTCAATCGAGTCCGACCCAGGTTTTTTAATTTTTAATTTTTTAATTATTTTATTAATTTTAAACTTCAAAAATCTATCTTTTATATATTTTAAACATCTTTCCCATTTTAATGCCATATACATCACTTCATTTTATTTTATTTTGTGAATATTATTTTATTATTCACGTTTATTTATCTCTCGTACCACTTTTTTTTTCTTTCTCCTTCACGTAGTCTCTCTTTCTCCTCTGTGAATCCAAAATTCCTTCTTCCTGCCATCATTTTCTCTTCTTTTACTCTCTATTTTCTCCCATTTCTTTCTCCACTTCCGGCCTCACCGCCGCCCAGATTCACCAATGTCACAGCCTTTACGGTCGAGATCCGTCCACCATATACTTGTTTTGACAAAAACCTGGGTCATCAACCGGTTCACCGGTTTCCGGGTTTTGGTCATTTGCCCCTGTTTTTTATTTTTCCGGTTTTGAAGCTCAAAATGGATCGCCTCTTCGCCGGGTCACGGTCGGACCAGTCTGACCGGCCGGTCCGATTCTTACAACATTGCTTTTAACTTCTTATCACAACACCTCTAATATAAGAAACAATAATTATGTGATTTTTTATACATAGTGAATTAAAGTGCGAGCTTTGTTTTCTTATAATGTCAATCGAATTACTATCCCAATCAGCTTTCATAGCTCAGTTGGTTAGAGCACCCGTTTAGTAAGCGGGAGGTCTTGATTTCAACTCTCAATGAAAGCATATTTCATTCTTTTTTAATGGATTTTAAGTTTTGCTTTCAACTGTTCACAGAATTGAACCAAAATCAAGAGCTAATCAAAGCCACAATAACACATAAGATATAGTATGATTTTATCAGTATACAAATATTGATTGTATAAAAGCTCACTACTACACAACACCAATACCAGTAAACTTTGATAGAATTTTGGAAGCAGATTTTAATCTAATTTAAAATCCAGACTGCGCTTATACAACCGAGCTAATCTGCTGCTTGTTCTGGGAATCGAGAACAGCCCTAGTAGCATCTTTAACCACTTGTCCACTGACGTAGTGTTTGCGGCACACGGGCATGTACACTTCCGCCCCAGCAATGAGTTCCGTTGTTGTCTCGTCTGTCTTCCTTAAAGTAAACAAAGCCCGTTTATTACAAACCTCGCATCGAGCTGTCAGCTTCGTAACAGAATCAGCAATCGGGATTACATCAAGCACCGAACCGAAGCTCCTTCTGCCCAATCAAGAAAGGGAGAGAATTTGATAATCAAAAATTTTAAAAAAGCATCTAACTTGTAACAAGTTAACAAGAAACTAAAATGAAGTGCAAAATTTACCTCAAGTAATCGCCATCCAAACCAGCTACTATTACCGTTTTGCCATCACGATCGGCTGCTTTGCTGCAGAAATCGTACAAGTCTTCGAAAAACTGAGCTTCATCAATACCAATCACCTCTAGCTGTTATTATGGCAACAAGAAAATATTAGCGTGTACGCTAAATTAATTGTTAAAACAATTCTAGAAGACTAAATTAATTGTAATTAAGAGAAATACCTTATCGTACACATCAGCACCCAACTTTTCCCGGAATGAAGAAAGATCTGCTAGTGGCAAGCAAGGCAACTTTTCTCCATCATGTGTCACAATGGATTCTAAACCGTATCTAGTATCTTTGTTCGATTTTATTATTACTACATTTCTGCAAAAAAAAAAAAAAAACAGTTTCCAATAAGAGTTGATACCACACTATCACAGTAATCGAAGCAAAGAAAAAGATTATAGCATCAAAATCAGCAGACAATCGTATATTCTATATACTCACGTTAGCAAGGGACTGATTTTCTAATTCAATGGACATCGATTGTAGGTACATCTAGTAAACCATGAATTCCAACCCTACCTTTACATATATTAAATATCAGTAGATATTTAATCACCACAGACAACTACGTTTTCCTCCAGTTCAATGCTCGAGTCTGGAATATCACAAGGATCTTTCAACGAAAAGGTCAGTTCTCTAATCATTTCATGTATTTGGTCGGTTTGTTCATGAGTATTATGCCCCATAAAGAAGAAATGGACCTCCGTTTGCAACTCTATCATGCTATAACCAGGCTCCTTTTTAATCCCAGACCCCCTCATCACACTCCTAATCTCCGCAACGTTTTTCCACATCCCAAAAGTCGCATAAGCGTTACACAAGACTATGTACTTCCCAGCATTTTCTGGTTCCAATTCGAAAAAATTCTTTGCAGCAATCTTCACAATATCCATATTACCATGAATTCTACACGCACCGAGCAGAGCACCCCATACCGCTGGGTGGTCTTTACAAGGCGACACCTGGACAAATTCGTAAGCCTCTTCTAGTCTGCCAGCGCGCCCTAAAAGGTCAACCATGATCGCGTAATGTTTGCCCCTCGGCCGAACACCATAGTCTCTCAACATGGACGAAAAATACTCCTGCCCTTTGTCCACCAATCCACCATGGCTGCATGCAGAGAGTACTGCAAGAAACGTGATTTGATTTGGTTTAAATCCTTCGCTTATCATCTGATGGAAAGCATCCAAAACCTCGTACACTCTGCCATGCAGACCATATCCAGATATCAAACACGTCCATGTTATGACGTTCCTCTGTAAAGACGTATCGAATACTCGAAACGCATCGTGGGGGCTACTACATTTGAAATACATATCCATAAGCGCGCTATTAACTACAACGTTTATACTAATTTGACTCTTAATCAATATCCCATGCGCTTGTTTGCCCTGTTCAAGAATGGCCAGTGAAGAACAAGCCCTAAATACTGACGCAAATGTATACTGGTCCGGCATCCAACCGAGTTGTCTCATTCTATGATAAAGACTCAACCCCATCTCTTCTAGCCCCTTTTGCACATACCCTGCAATCATTGCATTCCACGAAATTATATTTTTCGTTATTAGCGTGTCGAAAAAAACATGGGCGGTATCAAGATCTCCAGATTTGGCGTATAAAATCAAAAGCTTGATCTTCAGATATTCATCGGGAATGAATCCGACAACCACCATTTGCCAATGCATTCTTCTCCCCTTCTTATACTCCTTTCTGAAAATGCATTCTTGCAAGAGGAGCGAATAGATTTCGGAATGTACTTGCACCCCAGTGGTGCACAATATTCCAACAGCCTCTTTAACCCTCCCCGTGAAGCAAAGATCCTTTAATGTTCTATCCAAATGGCAGGAATTCTTTATTGGATTGCCCTGAAATCTGGGAATATCTCAATAGTGATAATTTAATTCAACCGTAAAACTTGATTTATTATCCAATCTTAACTTTTTGAACTATAGGATATCAATCCAAACTTATCGATTGCCCAACAGCAAGCAAATAAAAGGGGGGACTTTGGTGTGTCGACAGCTATAAAGCCATGAATGTGCTACAACTGTAGCTCTAACGAGCCGCGAAACAGCACAAACATTAGACTAAGCCATAGCACTTCATCATCAAATACAATGAAAACCAAATTAATTGACAAATTAATTGACAAACAATTGAAAACAAGCAAAAGGGATAATCTGCCCAACCTGCCATTGCGTCTCTCGGACTTCATCCTCTTGAGAAGTGTGGTGGTTTTTCCGGCGAACATGGGTCCCACAATCAGGTGAATCTCGCCGGAGGCACCACCATCGGTGCAAAAGCCTCGACTTTGACTGGAATTAGAGGGTTTTGAATAATTAGGGAGGGAGTTGGTAACAGATAATGGTGGGAGAAATGTAGGGTTCTTGAGGGGTTTAATTCTGTTAGCTGCGCCGCGAAGAAGAGTGGAGGATTTGGAGCGGAAGTAGAGTGAAAGAGGAGCTGCGGCGGTGGAATTGGAGAGAGATGGACTGAGAGTGAGTAGCGATTTCATTCTCGATACTTTTAACATTTACGAAGAAATTTAAAAATGTTGGGGTTTTAGGGTTTTGGATTGGAGGGAAAGCCTAGAAGCAGCAGCCAAAGGAGGAAGAAGACATTATTCAAAGGAAGACAATTAATTAAAGAGATGTATTATTCCCACTCTAAAAATATCTTATTTCACCGCTAAGTTAAATATATTTCTCATTTTACTCATTTTTTCTTTTATATATTTTACAAATTTATATATTGTCTATCACTAAACTAATTAAAATAGTTATAAAAAAGAATTCATCATTTTCAGTGGAAAGCTCATGGTCTCCACTTTAAGTAAATAATACTTCGTCAGATAATTCTTTTTCTGTAGGTCAAAAAGAGTAGGAATTTACGTTTTTTGATAAATAAATTAAAAGTGCTTGTATGGAAGGTCATTGATGTACATGGGCCAAAAATATGATGAGGCCCAAAAATTATAACTATAATATTTGGGCCCAATTATCAATTAAAAGCCCGAGGTTACATTCCAGGCCCATAGTAAGATTCTGTATATAAATGCTTTACGTTTATTGGGAAAAGGTAATTTTTTATTATTCGAAAGACATTAGAATATTTTCTTCTCGTATTTTCTCTGATATTCTTCTCTTGGAATCTGGACTGACTTAAGCATCGGAGGGTTTTCGCCGGAACCAAGCTCCGGCACCCTAACGTATATTTTTCTTACGCAGGAAACACCTAATCCATCAAATCGAAGAAGATCATCGTTAAGCCGTATCGATTCCCAAGTATTCGTTGCAGGTTTAATTTGAGGTGATTCGAGTTAACTTATTGTTGGCCGCATCAGTCATGAACTTCCTCCATAATTGGTAAGTTTCGCTTAATATAATTTCGTTTTCGAAAAAAGAATTACATAATCTGTAGGTAGGTCATCTCATATTGATGTTTAAATATCTTGTAAGAAATACTTCATTGCAAAAAATAAAATTAAAAAATTAAAAAACTAAAAAAAATAATAATAGAGATAACTTAGAATACATGAGGATTAAGTGAATATAAAGAAGGGTGGTGGATTATAAATTTAAAGGATATTTATGATATTTTATAATATTTGGTGATGAATTGAGATAATTTGGAGGTGGAAATAGCACCACTCTATTTAAATTATGGATTAAAATTACTTTTTTTTATAACAAATATCAAAAAAATGTTGGAGATATTAAAAAATTGACTATGAAAACTTTTACAAGCACCACCTTAATATTATTCATATATTTAATTATATTAGGGATTTTTTATTTTATTTTTTATCATGAACTTAAACATTTGACACATTTTGATTTTACTATTTATTAAATCATATCTTATTTTCTATATTTATAGATACTTATCAAAAGGGGAAAATATATAGTAAGTTAGTGACATAAATGGAACTTAAAAATTGTTGAAAAATAACAAAGTAAAAAACGTTACAAAGTAGAAGAAAGAAGAATGAACAATGTCTCATCTCTCCCCCAGTCTGTTGTTGTTATAGTAGAATAAGCAATGGTTAATGACAGCGAAGTTGCCTTCGAAATTCGAATTAATGCGTTCCATGTGAGGCGACGAACGATGAAAAAAGTCGCTCGAAAACGACATGAAAAGCAACAGAGGTACATCATAAGAGAATATGAGATAGATAGTATAGAGAGCTTGAGATGGACGGCCGAAATCGGATTGTTTGAAATAAATAGTCAAAATCAGTCAAACAACTTAAACCAAGTTGAAGTTAGCTAATGGGCTGATCCCTGGAATTGGGCTGTTTAATTATTGCATTTCTGGGCTCTATTCACAAAGAAGAAGAAAACATATTGGGCCACAAATATTTACGATGTTTAATATGTCCATATAAATTCACATATACATATTTCAATTATAAATTGTTCCTTCTAATTTTTGTTTTGAGTCTTTTATAAAAAACCATATTTTAATCTAGTTTGTTATATGGAAGTCCAAACAAATAAGATTAAATTAAAATAAATAATTCGAACCTCCTCCACTAGAATTGCAAATGCGCAGAGTTGAAATTATCAAGATCCATGACATAATATGAGTTTAATTTATAGTACAAAGTCTTCATTTTGATTTTCTTTTAATAAATAAATATTTCATACAGAATTTATATCTAAATTATTATTATTTTTCAATTAAATAGTATATGAATATAGAGATTCCAAAAGACAGTAAAGAAAAGTAATTAATTTCCAGCGCATTAGTATCTTCCAACTGCCCCTGCCTCAAGTTTGGTATACATTAGTTGGATGTATTATCGAATAATTTGCACAAATTAACCATTAATTAGTACATGGTTTTGTTTGCTGACAAAGAACCAGCAATAATTGAAATTATTTCATTTTGCTAATTTCTCATTTGTAATAAGATTTTTTTTTTTATTTTTTTTATAAAGGAGAACAAATTTCAGAATTAATTACATGTTGAATATAACAATTTCATTCCATTTTAATTAAATAAATTATTTGTGGCACCTAAAGAACATATGTTTGCTAAGTCTACAAGGTTTAAAAGCGTTGACGCCCATGTGTATTTTGGCTTCAAAATTTATAACATGTAGAGCACTATTAATATAATACCGAATATTTCTATTTTTTATATATATTAAAAAAAGGGGTTTTTTAAATTTATGGATTATAAATTGCTGAGAAAACTGAAAAGGGGTATTTAATTTTTTTTACTTAAAAATAAAAACACAATATATCATGATGATTAGGTTTTGGGTGTATGATGTAATGCATGTGCAGTCAGCATTATCATAATTGATGACTCTAATTAATATTTATATGCTAGGCCAATAAGCTCTTCGACATTGTTTTAATTATTTATTTTGTAACGTGTTAAATTAATGTAGATTTAGATGATGATGGGCAAACATGCAATTCCCTCTGCTTTTTATTTTAATAAAATTATATATATCGTCCTCTTTTTAATTTAAAAAATAAAATCTTATGGGAAAAAGGGTAATTAATTCTCAAAGCTTTCTTAACAACATGTTTAATTTCACTGTTACAAGTTATAACTATTTATATGCAGATAATTTATATACTTATGATTTATAATAAGTAAAGTTTTAGTGATATATTATGAGATATATATTCTGCAGATTATTCCAAATTTTAAAATTATGTTTTTATGGAATTTATTTTGTGAAAAAAAGGTTTATTCATAGTGTATGCATGTGAGGACAGAGTGCCGCCGACCATTTTATTTAGGGTTCGTGCCTTGCCTCCACATGAAGCAAACTTCTCCATATTTATTTTCCTATTAAGCTAATCAATGGGGAAAAAATAAATAAAAAATAGGGTGAAATTCATTTTGCACCCCTGTACTATGAGAAAGGTATCGTTTACCCCCCTGATGTATGAGAAACATCAAATACCCCCCTACATTAGACAGTCAATGGTCAAATTTTTAACAGTGTTAAATTTGAGTGTGCATTTACAATTTTACCCCTGTTTTACACGCCTCGGAGAATTCCTAAAGTTTTTCACGTCATTTACTCTCTGTACAACTTTCTCTCTCTCTTGGTCTTCTCCCTCTTTTAGATTTTGCAAGAAAACAACACCTGAAAGATTCAAATAATTCTCAAGGTTTTTGTGAAATTTGTTGAAGAAACATTGTATTAGCATATTCGAAGGACACTTACCCTAGAAGAAGGTACGGATTTTCGTTTTAGGTTTTTTTCTTTTGCTTTCCCAGTTATGGTTGAACTGATTTTTTGGGGGTTCTTTAACACGATGAACTTAAAGGATTAAGGGCACGGTTTTAACTAAAAATAAGGTGTATTTTATGGATTAGTGACAATTTTCAGGATTCGTTCAAAGTAGAGAATTTTGTCGATCTTAGTGTTGTTTGATTTTAGGGGTTTATGTTTACTTTCAAATAGCAGATCTAATTTTTTGCATTGATATATAAATAGCAGGCGTAATACCTCGTTTGAATTCTCAACTTTATTGATTTTTTTAGTTTTTCCATAGTAACAGATTTCTCAACCGGTATGACATTTTAGGCTTGGACTTAAAATGATTTTTTTTTTTAATGAACCTGTAATGTTTTTTTTTTTCTTTTGCAGAGTGTATATTTTCTCCAACTCAGATTAAAAACAAATATTATGCAAAGTCTGTAAATCATTGTTTTTAGATTGCGGTTCATTAGAGTTTTATTTTGATTTAGGATTTCTTTTAGATTTTAGGGATTTTCACTCTTTTTTTGGGGTATTACGATCATAATTTGCAAAACTTTATTTTCATCGATTTGATTTTTTCTTTTTTATGCAGGAATAACGAGTGACCAATTGTTTACTATTAGGATCAATCATAAATGGAGGTTCACAAATGGTGGTGAAGAGTTTGTCGGAAGGGTGGTTTCTTTTTTGCCAAACATTATAAATGGACAAATTTAGGGAACAAAAATTAAACGAAAAGAAGAATTCAAGAACAAAAGACAAAATGAGTGAAAACAGTGTAAAAAAAATATTGAAAAGAATAAAAAAGGAAATGTTGAAAAGAGTAAAAAAAAAGGCCGAATAAATGGAAAAATCTGGTAAAAAATGGCTAAAGTTAGACAATCTGTATATAGAGATTATTAGGGGTAATTCCGTCAAAAAAAATCAACAGGTCTTTATAGCGGTTGGTCAAAGGATTTGACTAACGGATTCAAGAAAAAAGTTAACGGCAGGGGGGTATTTGATGTTTTTCATACATCAGGGGGGTAAATGATACCTTTCTCATAGTACAAGGGTGCAGAATGAATTTTACCCTAAAAAATATTGTGTTTTATAAAAAAAGAAAGATAAAAAACAACTATATTGTGAAATAGAAATAGAAAGAAATAAAAAATTTATTGGTAAACAATCTTGAAAATGACTAACCCAAAAATGAAGGTCTAGTTTGTTTGTGGATTAAGAAAATTCGATATTATTTAAAAATTCGTATTTAAATATATTTGTCCATAGTTTCTCGTTCGAGTTCGTTTAGCGCAATTTACATTTGTTGAACAATTTGCGAACTATTGTAATCGGTAACTGATTTATTCCTTGTCGATTAGAAAAATAATAATAAAAAAAATCTTGAAAATGACTTAAACCTTTAATGATGTAGTAGTTGCAAAAATTAGAAGGCACAAAATGAAAACACAAGTAAAACGACGGGTCACATGACAATTTACAAAATTAGCATCCACTTAATTTGTATTTTCATTTTTGGCAAAATTTCAAAAATCTTAAAACAGCCTAGTCACCAATTACATCTCCTACATTTCTTACACGAGAGAGAGAGGATAGCCAAACATCTCTCTCTCTCTCTCTCTCTCTCTCTCTCTCTCTCTCTCTCTCTAAATATATAATATAATATATATAAACTACATTTTTTACATATATATATACACAAAATACCTACGTTCACACACAACACACGTATATATCAACTCTATATTTACCCATTTTTGGATGTGAAAATCAATCTCCACGAGCCACACTATATATATACAATGTATGTATATATATTTTCTCTCTCTCTTCCAAATTACATTTTTAACCAATAAATAAATATATATATATATAATCAATCTGTAGCAATTGTAACAAAGACTGAAATTTGGTAAACAAGAAAAAGAAAAGAGAAGAAAAGAGAAAGAAAAGAAGAGGGCCTTCAGCCCTCTGCCTCCCCTATCTATGCCTCCTTCCAGATCTTGATTTCAATCCATTAATCCAACGGTCCTTGATCATTTGGTATTAACACAATCGCATTTCTTCTGTTTGTATTGATCTTCTTCCTCCTCGTTTCAACTCAAATTTGAATCGTGGTCGTTGTTTTTTTTTTTTTTTAATTTTCATTTTCTGTAGGAGGTGGTTTGGATTTTGGGTGCTGTTGATTTTCGATCTGTTGAAGATCAGATGCTCTGCTGTTGAACCAAATTTAAATAAATATATATATATAAAAAAATAAATTGAAATTAAAAAAATAGCCAATTTCTCATCTGCAGGTTTCTGTGGTATTTTATTTCTCAAAGGTATGCGTTTCGTTGCTCAATCTACATTACCATGTTTTTGCGATGATTGGATTTCGTTGCTTTGATTGCTGATTCTGTATCGAGCAAGCTTGTTAATATATGGAAATTGAATCGTAATACGAACTCTTTTGTTCTAGTGATCTGGCGATTGGATCCCTATTTTGCTTATTGAGTTTATCGAGTTGCGGCGTGATTGCACGCGCGCTCGATTGGTTGGATTAGATTGGATTTGACTGTTTGATTGTTTTTTTCTGCAGAGAATGGAGATGGAGCCTGGGAAGCTGTTCATCGGAGGGATTTCGTGGGACACGAGCGAAGAGAGGCTCAGAGAGTATTTCGAAACGTTTGGTGAAGTAGTTGAAGCTGTGATAATGAAAGATCGAACAACTGGCCGTGCTCGTGGCTTCGGCTTTGTTGTATTTGCCAATGCTTCGGTTGCTGATCGAGTTGTCAGGGAAAGGCACACGATTGATGGCAGAACTGTAAGTCTTTGCATCGCTATTGTTTGCACAATGTTTAGATTACGTGCGCAATGTGTGTTTTGTGAAGTTTCTTAATTGCGTGAAAGTTCTAGATGTCGTCGTGGTTTCATTTATTTTGTTTCGATCAGTTTTCTGTGTATGTCGTTTGGCTAGTAAATAAGGCGGAAAAAAGGCTTGCACAATGGCGATTCAATTGTTTTATGCGCTTTCACTTGCCAAAAGAGAGTAGATTATATCGGCTTATTCGGTTCATACAATCTTACGTTTTAAATTGTAACACTTGTAATGGCATTGGATGATGTCTGAATTCAATGCCGTTGCCTCTTGTTAGAAAAACGATTGAGCATTGTTTGAGCAAATGAATAAACAAGTTTTACGATTAAAAAGACATGATCCATAATAGGTAGTTTCAGATAGGCTGTGCTACCGGGTTTTAGTATGTCTAAACAACAATCAGTTTTTTCGATGAACAATTGAGTAAAATAGTACAGGACTAAGCGATCGTAGGATATCTGATGATATCATGTTCGTTTAAGTGCTTACATTGGTAAGCAAAACTAATATGTTTTCTCAAGCATTTTCTTCGTTCTGTATTTGGTCCACTCAGTTCGTTTGTCACACACGAGACATTCTTTTTTCTCTGCTTTGGATCTTACGTGATGATTTTACAGCACACTCTGAAATTTGTATGATTGATTACTGAAATGTTTGTCAATGAGAACTTACTTCTACTTAAACCAATGTTTCTTCTATATCTGCGTACAACGTACAACGTACAGCGTAATTTCAATTCACCATTCAACAGGTGGAGGCAAAGAAAGCCGTACCAAGAGACGACCATCAAAACATAAGCAGAAACAGCGGCAGCAGCATCCAGGGCTCTCCGGGCCCGGCCCGCACAAGAAAGATCTTCGTCGGAGGCTTAGCATCCACCGTCAAAGAAACCGAATTCAAGAATTACTTCGACCAATTCGGAACAATAACAGACGTAGTTGTCATGTACGACCACAACACTCAAAGGCCCAGAGGCTTCGGTTTCATCACCTACGAAACCGAAGAGTCTGTCGACAAAGTCCTCTTCAAAACCTTCCACGAACTCAACGGGAAAATGGTCGAAGTCAAACGGGCCGTACCAAAGGAGCTTTCACCAGGCCCCACACGAAGCCCGTCTGTCGGCTCGGGATATAATAACTACGGTGGTCTGAACAGAGTTAGCAGCTTCCTTAACGCTGCTGCATACAGTCAAGGGTACAATTCGAGCTCACCAGGTGGCTATGGCATGAGAATGGAAGGTCGATTCAGCCCTGTGACAGCACTCGGTCGAAACGGATATCCACCTTACAGTCCCTCCAATTATAATAATAGCATGGGTCTGAATTTGGACTCAGGTTTCGGTTTAAACAACTATGGCCAGAGTGGTGGAGATTCTGGTTTGGGGTATGGGCGCGGAGTGAACTCTTATTACAGCGGAAATGCAAACCGTTTTGTGGGGCCCACGCTGAATGCCAACAATCGGAACTTGTGGGCTAATGGGAATCTCGATAATTACGGATCAAACTCGATGGTTTCGAATGCTTTTGTGGGGTCCGGAAATGGGAACAATGGGGGGCTGATTGGTAATTTCGGAGGCATAGGTGAAATTTGGGGTTCGTCTTCTGTTACAGGCGGCGGTGGAAATAGTTCGTTGGGCGGTGGAAATAGTGGATATGGTATTGGGGAAAGCCATTTTGTTGGGAGGGCCGACTATGGTAGGAACAACGAGGGGCCAATATCGTCATTTTCTGTTGGGAACAATATTCGTGATGTGGGTTTGGGAAACTTATACGGGAACGAATCTTTTTACGAGGGCCATGCATGGCGTTCGTCTTCCCCTGATATTGATGGTGGTGCCGCCGCCGCCGCCGCTGCTTCTTTTAACTACGGGCGTGGTGGTGCAGCTGCAGATGCCGTCACACCTAATAATAATTCTGTTGGCTATGTTGGTGGTTATAGTGTTAATGCTAGGTCTAATAGAGGTACGACTTCTTTCCGATACACTTAAAAATACATATACACCGGTATTTATCTATCTACACTGCTGACTCAATCGATTGTTGAATTTTCGAGCAGGAATTGCAGCCTAGGAGAATATTATTACCTTATGGACGGATACTCGTTTAAAGATTATTATAGTAGGCGATATATACAAGTGAAAAAAATTCCCAACATGGTGGAAATATTTCGAGCCCGGAAGAAGGTTTATTGGAGATAATACCGTTTCTAGAGAAGATCGTTTACCGACCGCGAGAGGAGTTTGCCAAAATAACAAAAAAAAGAAAGAAAGATTTTGTGTAAGGTTTGAAACTTGAGGTTTCAATATAGGCTTTTGATTTTTCATGTAATTTGTTTGAGATGTAATAGGCCTCTATTCTTTTTGTCTAGACTTCCTATTATTTTTCTGCTGTTCAAAAAAAAAAAAATATCTCCACTCTTTTGTCAGACTGAACACTACCATTTTTATTCACTTGGCTAAGCCGTGACACTTTTAATTTACTCAATTAAGTCCCTTTTGTTTATGTTTTTTTGTGTTTCCCCCCCTTTGTTGTTGTAACATTTAAGTTTGGTGAACAATACATTTTTATTATGTTTTTCTTTTTGTGTTGAATTGTACTGTGTTTACTTGGTGAGAAAAGTTAAGAACAGTATTTTTTTGTGCCTCCTAAGGTAAATTTTTTGTCTTTAAAAAAGTTGTATAAAGAAATACCACGTCTCCAGGGGTAGAATCGATATTTTTTTGGGGATAATTCATCAGACTCTAAATGATTCGGTGAAAAGTCGCACCATAAAGGGATCGATGTAAGACGAGACAAACATTGGGGGAATTTTGGTAATTGCGGATAGATAGGGGTGTTTTTCATAATTTAACCTAAGTTCAAGGGTTTTTTGGTAATTTACCATTACTATTATCCTTGTCAAAAATCTACAATTTCTCATCTTTTTCGCCTTTAAATTTATTAATTGAGCTGCAATATAAAATAAAAACTACAATAAAATCTTTTAATTTAGAAGAAATATGAAGTAATTACTCATAGTATAATAGAGCAGGGGTGGGGTCCACCGTCCATATTTCTGGTTGCTTTCAAATCATAATCACAAAGGGTCAAATGATTTGGTAGTTGCTCTCTTGTGGTGCGGATTAATTCAATTGGATCCGGTTCAGATAAGGTCTACATCCGGTTCAGATTCAGCCCTCCCGTTTATATATTAAACATTAATTAATAAAAAATAAAAAAAATTGGAAAAGGTAAAAATAAATTAAACTTGAAAACAATACACTAGACATCACAAATTCTTTTCTTTACAGAATTTCCACTTTAACAAGTGAACAAATCTCAGGCTAAACCTTTTACATCAACAGCAAAACATAGGATTACAACTACACATATAATTTAAAGAAAAAAAAAAAAAAAAAACCGGGCGGGGGGTTTCCAACAAATTTATTCATTACCGAAACCCGACACGATCACGAAGAACAACACCAACCTTTTTTACTCCGCCCTAATTCCGCCGCTTCTCCTCCCCCCTCCGTCTGTAAAACCACCGTCTTCCCATTTGCCATCCACCCTGGATCTTTCACTTTCAGTTCTTGAGATTGAATAACTTTCTTACTCAAAATATTAAATATCTCTCGCACCACTGTCTGGAACGCAACACCAACGTTCGAAGAATCGAGAGCCGATGTTTCAATAAAGAACAAACCCTGTGCCTCGGCCAACGCTTTCCCCTCCGAAACTCTCACCTCTCGTGCATCTCTCAAATCGGTTTTATTCCCCACCAATATTGTCACCACATTCATATCCGAATGCGCTGTTCGAAAATTTAAATATTATAATAATACTATTAAATGTATATATATAAATAAACTATAGTTTATTGCAATTAGTACCCTTGTGTTATATCGAATTGCTGAAAAACCATCCCTTGTTATTTTATTGGCAAAAAGCCCCCCAAGAATTAATTTTTTTAGCATTTAGTACCCCTGTTTAGGGGGTTGTGTGCTAAAAAAAATTGAATCATAGGCGGTATTTTGCCAATAAAATAACATAGGGTACTAATTTAAGCACCAAAAAATGTAATAATAATTTGCTTACTGTGAAGTTCGTTGAGCCATCTGCCGATGCTTTCGAATGTCTGACGTCTGCTGATGTCATAAACGAGAAGGGCTCCAACAGCACCTCTGTAATAAGCAGATGTAACTGCCCTAAACCGTTCTTGTCCAGCTGTATCCCAAATCTGTGCCTTGATTTCCTTGCCGTTAATCTCGATTTTCTGAGTCTGAAATTCTACACCAATTGTCGATTTTGAGTTGGGGTAAAATTCGTCCCGAGCGAATCTGGCGAGCAGATTCGATTTCCCAACGGCTGAGTCACCGATCAGGACAATCTTGAAAAGGTAATCCTCTGTTTGTTCGTCTTCTGTACGAAAGGCCATCTTTTTCTCTAACCCCTTGTAAGCCGAAGCTACAAAACCATATCTAGATGACGTATATGTATGTATACACTAACCACCCTTGTACATACAGAAAACTAGATATTTTTGGTATGCAAGGCTGGCATCGAGAGGTAATTCCTCATACTAATGCTGCCTTCGCACTTGCCCCTCGTCTCTCCTCGTCCCACAAACTCAAACCTGTGAAGAAACGTGTTACAATGTGTGATGATTTAACACTCGTAATTAACCTCTACATACATAATCATTTAATATAGATTGATACTTCTTCTCTTAGACTCTACCATCAACAAAATTCTCAATTTAATCAAATTTCTTGCGATACAATAAAACACCTCGTAATTCAGGCTTATCAATTAGTGGTGTTATCGGCTTCAGATCTAATCTCGTATTGAAGTCAAATGCATAGAGGAAGCTCCACAATATAATTTTTTTAGCCAAGCAGAAAGATTAATCGGCGATAGGAATTGTCTGATCCAAAATTGAATCGAATCTTTTTTTTATCTGAATGCTGTAGATCCAAGCACAGTATCTGTATCCGAACGAAGTTAATTGGAACAATGTTTTTATGTACGATTAGAGGGCCATCGGGTTTAATAAACCGGGTGGTACAAATGACATGAATAATCCACCGGCAAACAATCATAATTCGACAACATTGCAACTAATAACACAGTAGTGTGACACTGTTAGAGTTTAGACATGTTCCAACCAACTCCCGGAAAACAATAATTAGAAGATAAAAACAGTTTCCTGACAGTGGATTAAATCATTTCTAGTACATCAAACAAGCTTTCAAGTACATGTACAAATTGTCTCCATCCCAAAACTCTACATTCAGCTGATGCGAAAAATTCCGGTACGGAACTACATTATCACACCTATTGACCGAAACAACGCGCCGAAAACCGGAATCCAAGAAGTAACATCACATTAACAAAATACAGCCAAATTTCGGTACTGATTTCCACATTACCCAGAAAAAGAAAGCAATCATCAAGAAAGATTACATTTTTAAGAAACTCAGCAACTCAAATACAGAGGAAAGAAAGTATTTTGGTAAATACCCTTCAACAAAAAGGAGAAATTAAAGTCAACCGTTTCAAAAATAAAATAAATTAAACCTAAAACAGGGAAAAATTGGAGGGCAAGAAAAAAGAAGTGCTGAAAACATACTCACTTGTTGTAATAAGGAATGCATCTTTTTTCCCACCTTGAGTTTTCGTCCCTCCAACCTCTCTAATGGGGTCCGTTCTGAAATGCAGATCAAAGAATATACAATAAAGGGGAATTTAAAAGTAAATCCGAGGAGACAAGAGGGAATCAAAACAATCTTCAATGATTCTGGGTTTAGGAGAGACTAGGGTTAGGTTTCAAGATTTGACGAGGAGAGAGAGAGAGAGAGAGAGAGAGAGAGAGACGAAAGGGAACCAGAATTGGGGATTTTGGCACAGTAGAAATAAATGGCGGAATCAAGAAACGCCGGGCCTAATTTTTGCTTAACCGGCCGTTTCGGGCTTTTTTCCAGGTTGGCAGCCCAAACGTAATTAAGAGTTAATTTTACTTAATTTTACAGCAGCCCGGAAAAAAATTATTTGATTAATTGTCCCACTAATAAAAACACGAAGTTGTAACATAATTTTTTTCTAAAGAAAAACGATTTAATTAATTATTATGATATATGAAATGGTTGATTTGAAGGTTGGGATTTTATTTGACAGCATAGGTGGCTATCCACCTTCACTGGTAGGTGGTCCACGTGGATATTAATGGGGTCTCTTCTGCAACTAACAAGTACCTAACATGATTTAGATTCATATCCAAGATTGAGTCTTTCTCTTTTCTTTTTTTTTTATATATATATATAATTTTAATCTAATAATGCTGAGCACTAATTTTCAGTTGTAAATTGTAATTCCACTCTCATAATATTTGAATATTCATTTTTTTTTAATTTTGCTAGTGATTTAAAAAATAATAATAATAATTGAATAAATGTGGAAAATAAATAATTAGAAAGAAGTGATTGAAAACATGAAAAAAGGAAGAAGTTGGAAGTTTATTGAGCAAAAGAAAAGATGCCCAAACATGTGGAGCCCAATAGACTACTAGGTATAGGTAGCCCATAGGTGTGACAGTTAAAAAGGGTCCAATGCCAAATAGTCGAAAAATCATTAAGCAATTGTGGTACAATTGTCTCTAGACTTTTATTACAACCCCAGCCCAATAAGGAAATCGTGGTCCAATTTTCGTATTTTTTGCTTCTTTGCTAACCAATGCATGTTTGCTTGCTACCTGCAAATTGAGGTGGGAATTAAACGAACTCAGATCGAACTTAGCACTTTCGTCGAATTTTCGTTCTTTTTTTTTTGGGGAAACTAGTTCCAATTCCAATTTCACGCAAAGAAAAGTAGGAAATTGGAATAAAGAAACTTGATCCAAATTCGGGAGAATTTTTTGAACATCGAATTAATTAGTCGCCTGTATTGAAACATAAAATAATATTGGTTTTATAAGTTCAGTTTATTTTATTTATTTACATAATCTGAGTTTATTAGTGTTAGTTAGTTATCGATTGATTTCAGCTTAGTGGTTAATTATCTTGGCACATGCTTAATTAATCATCTAACTCACTAACTTATTATCTCTTCTAGTGTGTTCATGTTCGTGCAGGACAAGATGTTCTAGGATTCTACAAATATGAGAGGTTCATCACTGACAATTTTCTGAAGAGAGTTGAGAGCAAAGAGTTTTGGATGTTGCTCCATCTTCGACAACACACTGTTTTCGTTTGTATTCTCCTCACTACCTTTTGCATTAAAGGTCGTTGAATACTAGTATGTACTTCTAGAGTGTTCTGTAAGGTATAGATCATAATCAATTCTACGAATTCTCGTATGAAGAAATTGACTGTTGATTTCTTCAGAAAATGGGAGATCTTTACTTTTCATTGTGTATACTTCAAATATTGTTTTAATAACATTTTCACCTATTAAGGTACATCCATAAATTGTGAATAATGACTTAAATATCGGATTGTTTAGGCAATGTTTGGTTTTGTTTTTCTTTTGTTTTCATTGTTTCTCCAAAACAAAATTATATTTATTATACTTCTCAAATAATTTTCACAAAACAATCTCAAAAGTTTCTCTCTTCTTTAGACATGATGTGACTGCTACAGTAAAATGATTTGACTGCTACGGTAAAAAATGTCTTCACCAAAAAACAAATAAATATCACTTCATCTTTCAATTTTTTTCTTCTAAAATATTTTTTTCTAACACTTTTAAACATGATGTGACTGCTACAGTGTATTTTGTCTCTTTCCAAAATATAAACAAACATTACTTTCATTCTCAAATTCTTCCCCCAAAACATATTTCCTCAAAATGAAATCAAAATAAGTTCCAAAACACTTCCAAACATTGCCTAAAAGTTCCGCTGCAAAACATTTCTTTAGACCCGTATTTATCAGATCATTTGTGTAAATTGTGGTCCGCAAGTATTTATATTACTCTATACAAATCTGGTGACATTAAATTCTTTCAGCCAAAATTCCACCTGAAGGTAAACACAGGATTTATAGATGGATAGAAAATGACAATGTAAGAAATGTAGTGGAAAGAAATTAATAATTATATTGATTTTCAGAAGGAGGGTACTAGTTACAAATAGTTAAATTGTGGTCCGTAAGTAGTTTTGAAATGTTTGGGGGTAGAGTGGTCCAAACCTATTTTAGGGGTGTGGTGAAATCTTAAATGCCTAAGCTTCGTCATGTTTCAACCAACTTTGTACTTGGTATTTTTGTAGCTTGGCAACAATTTGATACCCAAATTATTATTATTATTATTATTATTATTATTTATATTATTATACTAATAATAATAATAATTATTATTATTATTATTATTATTATTATTATTATTATTATTTTATTACTATTAATATTATTATTATTATTAAAGTTTTCATGCATGTTGTGAAAGGCTTGCAGCCAAATTATTTTTAAAAGTGACCCCTTATTACAACTTTAATGATTGTGATTTGCGAGTCATTCTTTGTTTTTTGATTGGCAAGATCAATTGATGCAACTTGTGCTAGAAATATCTTGGGTGAAATAGTTACAAAAAAAAAATAAAAAATTCACTTCCGTAATAAAACGTGTTGAGCTCGCCAGATTCTTCAAACTCGACTCATCTACGATTTATATATAAAAATAAATAATATTTGTGCGTCTATTTGATTTTTCATCCTCTTTAGTTAAATTATTAAAGGGTTAGTTACGGCTACCTCCCCGAGATAAGATCAAATTACGAAAAATCCCCTCTTGTTTGGGTAATTAAAATTATCCCCGTCAACTATGTATTGTCTTATAAAAACCTCCTCCTTCAATAGGTAAATTTGACACCGTAAATGTGGATGTGTAAGATAATACATAGTTGAAGGGAATAATTGTAATTACACAAACAATATGAGTTTTTACGTAATTTGATCTAATTTCATGGGTTTGACGGTAATTTGGCATTATTAAAAGACAATATTGGCAAGTCAATATCACTTTTGGAGGAAGGCAAACTCTAGATTCCCTAGTTGTAGTGAGCCAATTGGTCCATCCGTATATACGGCCCATAAACTTTAGAATCAAATTGGCCCATTTGCTTTTCGCTTCGTGGGCCCAATAGACCAATTTAATTTCACATTAAAATATATTTTTTTTTTGTTGTTTTGGAATTAAATAAATTTTAATTTATAATTTATTACAAAGGATTTAGTTTCTAGTCAATGATTTTTTTTTTATTTATGGCCATAAATTTAGCTTTTTTGAAGGCCTTAATTCCATGGGATCTTGGATACTTTCTTCATATCTTGTTACAAGATAAGATACTGATTTATCATAATTGGCCAAATAACTTTACCAAAAGCAATGTGAAAAGCTGGAATTTTATTTCCCAATGTCAAGTGCCGATCATGATCGTGACAAAATAGAAATAAAGTTTGGAAAATAAAATTTTAATTATCATTTGATTACTTCAATCCGGTATTAAAATGGAAATTTTCGAGATACTATAATACGGCATCGTTCAATTTTCATATATGAGTTTGAATTTTTCTCCCTTTTTCCTTCTATAAATAAAACAACAACAATAATAGTAATAATTAAAGAAAATATGAAACCATATTTGACTATAATAATAAATTAGCTGTTAGTTTCTGTCGTGAAACTATTTAGTATTTAGAGTATTTAGACAGTAAATAATTGTTCCAACCGGAAATCAATTTGAACACTTTATTTTGGCACTTATAAGACTTTTGGTGATATTTATCTAGTAGTATAAGTACTTTATAGTCAATAAAACACACATAAACGTCTATGATATTTGAGTTTGACTTGCATAAACTCAAAAAAATTGACCACATGGACTAAGTACTATCAAACACTACTAACACAAGACATAATTAAATTTAAAACCCCTTAAAAATTGATTCATATAATGTGATTTAATCATGTCAGTACAATATTGTGGAATCTCAAATTATCTTTCAATTATATTGACTATGTCACTTCAAGTTAATAGTGTAATTGTCGCACATTACAAAAGAAGTTAGCCAACATTCACTAAACCTGACGAATGATAGGACGTGCATTAAATGTTGTCACATGCCCTAGGTAACTAAGTGTCTCGATAATTTGTAGTCGATCATCCACTCGCTACGGAGTTTATTAATTGCTCATCTTGCCCATAGGAGTTACTCGCGGTTGTCTTGTTTTGTGGAATTCCGCGAACAACCACTTTATGGCAGATCTCGCTTTTCTTATGGATTTTCTTTGGGCTCGACTTGCTTAATAGGCCAAAATGACTGAAATTGATCCGAATCAAGTGCAAAGATGGCATCATACTATATTGTTTTATTGCCTTTGGATTATTGGTGCATTGAGAAAGGGTTGTTTTGTATTGCTATTTACGTGGCAAACATTTTTATTTGTTATTTTGCTTATCTTAACAAATAAATTGAAGATTTTTATCTATTATTATCTTCTTAACTCGATAAGTATACCTATATTATAGTCAAAATAATATTTTACTCCATACAAAATGTGAAATCAAGAAGATTTGTCATGAAACAAATTCGGTTACGTTAAACAGAATATTCTTAGGATAGCAGTAAAATAATCAACTCAACTTGCCCCCAACTTCCGGATAATAGTATGGTCCCAAACTGTGATTTTATATTTGTAAAAGGACCAAAAAGTAAGAAAATGAAGTCCAACTGGTTCAATTATTTCACTTTAAAAAGGAAATTTTAATTTCTCTTTGAAAAAAAGTAGTTAGAATCCACTACCAATAATACCTCCTTTTCATTTTCGTGCAAATAAATATAAATTTTAATTTCTCTTATTTATAAAATTACATTTATACCCCCAAACTTTCCGTCTGTCTAAATTTTAGTACAATCAATAAAATAAACGTCAAAATCGATCCTGAATAACATTAAAGTGATAGACAGAGAAAAATGTAACCCCTAAAATATATTTAAGTTCCAAAAAAATATTTTATTTAAATAATTAGATACATAAAAAATATTTTTGTAATTATTTGAATGAATTTGCTAACAGATTCTACTAATCAAAAGGAATGGATAACTACCACGAACAAAAAAAAAAAATTAAAAAAAAATTAAAAAAATCAATATTATGCAGTTCCTAGAATTTTCATTTTTCAAGTATGAAACGGTGTCGTAATCGTTAAAGACTTTTTTTTTTCTTTGTTCTGCAAACCAGTCCAAAGAGAGCTTCACTATTTTTTCAAAGTCTGTCTCTTTCTCTCTCCCACATTTATTTCTCTATTTAAGTATTTGTTTATTATCAGATATCTCTGCTCACAGTAGTAATCGGAGGAGCAGAGTGAACACAAAGAGGTAATAAAATATTGCTGCTTCACTCGCATTAATTTCTCTTCTGCGTTTTTTTTTCTTGTTATGTGTGGACAAAGAAACTGCATGCTCGCCACAGAAATTACTATTCTGCCATTGTTTTCAGCGTTTGTTCTTGTCTCAAACTGCACCATTTTTTTACTGTATGTATATGCAAGAAAAAATTGTTCTAGGGTTTGGTTTGTTTTTCCACAGCAGAAGAATCTCTGTTCTAACGTGTGTTAACATGGAATTTGAAAAGGGTTCTTGATAAAAACGTAATCTTTATTAAAAAAATCGAGGTTATTTATTGCTTACTTTCTTCTTTCACTTGTCGTGTATCTAAACCCGGATCTTTTCATTTTTCAGTCAGTATCCCAAATTCCCAATCCAATTCAATTTTGATTCCATTTGTACAATTTATTGCAATAATTTGTCCCAACTCATTATCTTGTCTGAAATATTTGAGTTTCCATTTGACTTGTCAGAACTCTGTGAATTCCAAAAATGGAGGGGGGTGTTACTAAACCAGACAAAACAGAGTTCACAGAATGCTGGCGCACAAGCTGGAAAAAACCTTATATTATGCGATTAGCCTTTTCGGCCGGTATCGGGGGGCTATTGTTCGGTTACGATACCGGTGTTATTTCCGGTGCCCTTCTTTACATTCGAGACGACTTCAAATCTGTCGAGAAACACACTTGGCTGCAGGCAAGTAACTATTGGGGTTTATGCAAATATACCATGATTAATTGAAATATTCGATCCTAATCGTGTTATAATATAACTTGTTTGTTCGTTTATGTTTTTTTTTTCTCTCAGGAAACGATAGTTAGCACAGCTGTAGCTGGAGCTATAGCTGGTGCTGCGTTTGGCGGATGGATGAACGACAAATACGGTCGGAAAAAATCCATTCTTTTGGCCGATGTATTGTTCTTCATCGGTGCGATTATCATGGCTGCTTCTGTGGGCCCATGGATGATAATTCTAGGACGAGTATTCGTCGGTCTTGGAGTTGGAATGGCGTCCATGACAGCACCGCTTTACATTTCTGAAGCCTCGCCTGCAAGAATCAGAGGCGCTTTAGTCAGCACGAACGGTTTGCTTATCACCGGGGGACAATTCTTGGCTTATCTCATCAATTTAGCATTCACCAAGGTATCACTATTTCTTTTATTTATCAATTTTACGATAATTAATAATAATTGAAATAATAATACGTGGATGTGTACTTTAAGGCACCTGGAACATGGCGGTGGATGCTCGGAGTAGCCGCAGTTCCGGCTCTCGTTCAGTTCATCTTGATGCTATCACTTCCCGAGTCTCCTAGATGGCTATACCGACATGTAATAATTTTTATTACGGTTTCTTGCTTCTTTTTTTTTTTTTTTTTTTCTATTACAAGCTAAAAAAGGGCGGTTAATAAAAAAACTCTTTCTGTTATCTTGATCAGGATAAGGTGAAAGAGGCCAGGGTTATTTTGGAGAAAATCTACCCTGAAAACGAAGTCGAAGAAGAAATGAAGGCTTTAAAATCATCGGTAGAAGCTGAAAAGGCCGATGAAGGGTCAATAGGGAACGGTCTATTTGCAAAACTCAAGAATATATGGGGAAACGACGTTGTGCGAAGAGGGCTCTATGCTGGTATAACCGTACAAGTGGCTCAACAGTTTGTTGGCATAAACACCGTTATGTACTACAGTCCAACGATCGTCCAGCAGGCGGGGTTCGCTTCGAACAAGACGGCTCTTGCTCTCTCTCTCATCACTTCCGGTCTTAATGCTGTGGGGTCCGTTGTCAGCATGGCCTTTGTCGATAGGTTTGGGAGGAGAAGGCTCATGATTATATCCATGTTCGGTATTATAACATGTCTTGTAGTGTTGTCTGTTCTGTTTCACGAAGCGTCCTCTCACGCGCCTCGTGTGAGTGGGGTTGAATCCGTTCATTTTGGAGGGAACGCCACCTGTCAGGGCTTCTCGCGGGCCCCGCAGCCGATGTCGTGGAATTGCATGTCGTGCGTGAGCTCCTCGTCCCAATGCGCTTTCTGCGCTAGCGGGGATAGCAAGGTGAGATTTCCATTATGTTTTGGAAAACATTTGAACTCTTTGATTGATAATTAGGGGTGGAAATCGGACGAATCGGATCGGGATAAGACTAGTTCCAGTACCGTTAAAACTATTTCAAAATTGGAATGAAAAAACTCGTTCCAAAATCGGAAATTTTCAGATCGGAATCGGCAGAATTCGAATTTTTCATTTTTTAGGTCATCTATAATACAAAATACAGAATAATATTAATACTATTAGTGTAATTTCCGGAGAGAAAAATGGATTTCGGTAACCGTTATCTAATTCCGTTTAAAAAATATCAGAAAAATCGGAATTCCGAATCCCGAATTCAAAAATTCAAGATTTCCTTTCCAATTTCCACCCCTATAATCATAATTCTTTAATATATGATTTCTAACATATTATCTCTCATTTAGTATCAACCGGGGGCATGTTTGGCAGCAACGGACGAGATAAGAGCCATGTGCCGAGGGGAAAAGCGAACATGGTACACAAAAGGGTGTCCGAGCAAATTCGGTTTTTTCACGGTGATGCTTTTGGGAATGTACATAATATCATACTCGCCGGGAATGGGGACTGTGCCATGGATTGTGAACTCCGAGATTTATCCGTTGAGATACAGAGGGATTGGAGGAGGGATTGCTGCGGTTTCTAATTGGGTTTCGAATCTGATTGTGAGCGAGACTTTCTTGACTTTAACCGAGACGCTTGGTTCGGCGGGGACTTTCCTCCTTTTCGCTGGTTTTTCGACTATTGGACTTATAGCTATCTATTTTGTTGTGCCCGAGACAAAGGGATTGCAGTTTGAGGAGGTGGAGAAGATGCTCGAGAAGGGGTTTAGACCTAGATTATGCTGCGGTAGTAATTCTTCTTCTTCCACGGAGAAAGATGATGATAATTTGAAATAAGTTTTTCGCTTTCTTCCATGTTGTGTAAAATTACTATTTGAATTTTGTTCGACTAATAGTCTTGTCGAAGTGCAATGCGATTGTCAGCATGTAACCAAACAATAACGAAACGGTGACCAAATGATTCGGGTGGCAAGCAAATCTTAACCCATTTGCAGACATGAATTTTCTAGTACTGATTTATGTTGGGAATCTTTTCAATACGGACGTATGGTCGAATTCGCATTCGCGCAGGTCATGATTCGAGATTTATATATAGATCACCAAATCGTGGTCCAGAGAATCACTTTATTTTGAATCCCACCACCACAGAATGAAACCCAAGCACGATTATGCCTTCTATCCCCTACTTTGAATTTTAAAATGACAACTTCTCTCTGTAAAAGTTTTAAGCATTTAAGCAAAAGGTACAGTAAAACTGCTACTGCTGCACCGACACCTTTTGTAATAATCGGACCAACACATATGAAGATATGGAGTGGTAGGAAAATGGCTTGTCCAAGCACCAAGACAAAACATACCTGCTCTGCCAGCTAAGGCAATTATAAAAATATTTATTAAAAAAACGGAATAATATTTACCAAACTAAATAATCTAATGTGGGTGGCCGGTCCTAACTCCTATCATAGATTCATGGTGAAAACTGAAAAGTATATCTCATGTTGGTAGGCCCCATCACACTGTAGTGGATCAACTTTGCATGAATCTTTTTAAAGTAAAAAAAAAAAATTGCTAATATTTATAATACTCAGTAGTTTTTTTAGCAAATTGGATATAATATGGCGGGCTACTTATTCATAATTTGTTCACATTATTTTTTATATGTGCCAAAAAAAAAAAAAAAAAAAAGGGAATTATGGCATTTAAGGTTAATTAGTTAAGAAAGTGAAACAAACAGCATGCAGGTCAAAAGATGGGACACCAGTGCCTGCAAGTTGGCCAGCTAAGGAGTCAGTTGTTCACATAATAACTGAACATGTATGGGAATTACTGGTGGAGGCTGGAGAGTGAGTGAGTTCTCTCATATTTATTTAATTAACAAATTATGTTTTCCATCATGTACATATATATATATATATACATACATCATAATTAAGTGGGTCTGTGAATTATTAAAGATAAAGCACAAAACTTTACAGAAAGATGGAGTATATAGGTGATAATATTACAAACCAAATAAAATAAAAGCATTCTAAACTTTTTTGAGTTTGTGTCTGAATCAAACAATTAGCAAAACCTTCACACACAGATTCTCATCTCCCCAAAAAAAACCAAGGGGGTGATAGATAATAAACCCAAAACAGAAAAAAAAAAGACAAGTCAACAACAGCATAACCCACAGTTACGACTTGTTAATTAGCTCCGTCAGCACTAGTTAGCTACTAGTAGCTTCTACATACTTATCCCCTAATTTTTGTTTAGAATATTTAAACTCTCAAAATTACTTGAAAACACTCTGTACAAAGAACAAATCAAAAACACTTGCTATATACAGCCAACAGCAAAGCAAGCCAAAAAACAAAACAAGGGAAATACAATTAATATATATAATATAATATTATGATACCTCCTCCCTCTAATTGTTTATGGAGTTGAAGAAGATGAAGCTTCCTGTCTGGGTTCTCTCAAGTAGCCAAGAAGAGTTTCAGCCTGACAAAATTTAACCACTTACATATACAATTCCATATGAAAAACGACATGTATTTGTAGGGAATTGCAGCTTTTTAACACGCAGACAAAACAAGAACAACTACAACACGCATAATATAATGTTGTAGTAGTAGACGATGAAAGCAACACTGCTCGGCAGTCGGCACCTATTAATTATTATTCCTCTATAAATATCATGCAACAAAAAGATTAGGGCCTAATACAAATTATGAACTAGGTGGCGCGTGCACATTATTAATCTAAAACCTATGTCCTCCCCTAGTTTTGTTAATCAATTTCAATTATTATTAACATAATTCATCAATGTGTTCCACATCACAAATAATTGAAGCCCCCCTAACCTAAAATGCGAGATAATAATTCATCAACTGCACATTCATAGAGTGTAAGAAGCCATTTTCTTGAATTAGAGCTAATTTGTCCTAATTATGTTGTAGAATTTTCTCAAGCAACTGAAAGATTCAACATGAAAATGGCGCAAACATATATGAACAATTAAGAATTGTACAAATTGAAATCTAAAATACAACAAGCTGAATCAATACAAAACAGAAATTTAAGGTCTGGAAATCTCACCTTGTGCTTAGCTTTGGCTGTTCCAGTCTGCGATAAGGACACCAATGGCGGAATTCCGCCTTCCCTGACAAGCAATCCCCTGTTCCTAACACAGTCCACGCACAGCTGCAGCAATGTCAGAACAGCAAACTCCTTCCCTTTGTCACTCGCATCCTCAATCGCCTCCACCAACGCCGCGATCCCGCCTTCCTCCACGATTGCCTCCCGTCCGATCTCCGCCGAGGCCAAGCTGCTCAGCACCACCATGGCCTTCTCCGTCAATCCGGCCCCTTGCTCCGACACAAGCTCCACCAGCGGCCTCACCACACCGGCAGCCACCGCTCTCTCCTTATTCAGCTTCACCGAGCACAACTTGTACAGCGTTGTCAGAGCGTCCTTTTTCCCTCTGCTGGACCCGTTTATCAGCAACGCCACCAGCGGGGGTATCGCGCCGGAGGCGCCGATCGACAGCTTGTACTCGTCCACCAGAGCCAAGCTCAGCAGCGCGCACGCGGCGTTCTGCTTCGAAGTCTCGGTTCCCGTTTTCAAAACGTAGATCAAGGATTTGATAGCGCCGGCGTGTGTTATCACGCGTTTGTTGCTCTCGAGGAGGGAGAGATTCAGTAGCGCCGTGACGGCGTTCTCCTGGGTCATCGGGTCGGAGCAGCGGAGAAGCGGAATCAGAGCGGGTACGGCACCGGATTCTCCAATTAGGGCACGATTGTCGGCTCGATTCTTAGCCAACAGCCGCAGCTTCGCCGCCGCCGACCTTTTCACAGCAATTGACGACGATTGCAGCCCGTCGACGCAGAGTTTCACGGTAGGCTGAAGGTCTTCCGGCGAGATGCTCTCGATGATCTCCGTCGAGAACGTTTCCCTCTGTAGGAAACCGGAACAAGGCTCCGGCTCGGGATCGGAGCTGGTGGCCTGACTCACGCCGGGATCGGGGAGACTGGAGAGCCGCTGGAGCTCCCCGGAAATATCGCTGGAGCACGCCGAGAAATCACTGAATGCTTGTGAGATATCCAATATATCATCTAAATCGGAGGACGACGGACTTTTCGAATTACCAGACGATTTATTCGCGAGCTCCCCCAATCGGATGTCGATAACCGAATCCGTAAGATTCTCTGAAACATTTGGGGATACCTCTCGGATTGGACCGGAGTTATCGGCGCTGAAGATGTTGGACCGGATTGTGCGCATGGACCTCCCCATCGAGCGGCTTATTTTGGCGGAGGACGGCGGCGGAGTGTAGTAGTAGTAAGGCCGTGTTTGGTTGTAGCTAATATTGGGGTTTGAGTGTGAGTGGGAGCGAGAATCTTCTATCGAAACCATGGTGGAGTAATTTTACTAGTACTGGTAGAGTATTTGCTTTTTATATTATATGTGGTAGGTCAAGAAATTTCCATGGACGGCGGCTGCGGCGGCGGCGGTGAGTGGTGAGAGAAGAAAAAAAAAGCTCAGAGGAACAACAACAATGGCGGATTTATAAAGGCGGTGGTGGTTATTTGTTTTAATAAATAAATTGTGTTTCCTTTTTGTTTATTTATTTTTATTTTTTAAAAATGAAAAAGAAATGAAATAGGAATTTGAATTTGTTTTTGGTGATGGGTGAGTGAGTGGATTTGGTTGGTCTAGCGGGTTCTAAAATCACAGCTGGAGAGTTCACAGCTGGGCCCACATCGTCCTGGAATTTGCCTGATGCGTGTGTCGGCTTGGTTGAGGGTTACCGTCACGGTAGCAGTTTTGCTACTTTCACAATACGACGCCGTTTAGACCTAACGAAATATTATAATGCACAACGTTACAAAAAAAAAAGCACATTTAAACCAATATTGATATGAATAAATAAATTAAATAGATGTTTGACGCATACTATTGTTCGCCTAAAAGACAAGAGAATAGTTGCGTAATGTCAATAAATAAATGTATGATATATTTTAATATTTTAATACTTTGTATAATTTTATAATATTTAAATGAATATGTCCTTTTCAAAAGTGACATGCTGAGTTGTTTTGCCTACTTTTTAATTATGTTTTCTATTAGCGGATGGAGAAAATATATTATAAGGTTGTCTATAATTATTGATAAATGTTTTATTATAGACGTTTGTAGTTACAGAAGATAATTAAGAAGGGGCTGCTAATTAAACATCAAAATTAGAGGCTACGTTAAGATTTTGTAGGGCCTGAATAATTGATTTTGCCACTAATCCGTTGCTTTTAGATGTTGCTATACACGAATGCTCCATAATTAATCATTACATCACACTATGCTTAATTATGATTTAGTGCGATTAGTAATTGATAGTATTGATTAATTAATTATCGGCACAATATAAAATTGGCTTCCTTGGGTTTTGAAAAGCCAACTAAGAGTTTTGACCAATGGGATAATAAATAAATAAATAGACATTGTTTCTGACAAACAAAAGCTTAAACAATTTGCAATAAGGGCAGGGTGGTCATACCAAAGTATTCAAGCGGTTGACCTAATACCAAACCAGTCAAATCGAAGCCACTTTATTTTTAGGGCAAATTACGGTCACTTCTCTTGTTTGGATAATTACAACCACCCCTTCTTTTAAATATTTTTACGTAAAATTTACGTAATTCGGTTATTTACCAAATCAAATCGTATAATTAGTTTGGTAAACGGTATGAAATGTTGGCGTACCGAAATTTTGGTCCGGTTTTACTGAATTAACATCTCTAAATTACCTCTGGAAGGGTCTTTTCGTAAGATAATTACATAGTTAAGAGAAGTGGGTGTAATTACCCTAACAAGAGGGGGATTTTCATAATTTGTCCATAGCTCAGAGGATGGCCGTAATTTGTCCTTATTATTAAGCCTATAGGGATGAACAAATAATACCCATAAACAATGGACACCACAAAAAATTCTTAGTTGCAGCACAATTACAATATAACAAAACCGCGTCGTTTATGTCAAAATATTGACCAGGTTGACCGACCAAACACACCGTTCTACAGTGTAAAACTGATTTTTTTTACAGGTGTAACAGTTAATTTTGTGCTTGGCTTTAACCAAAAAAAGAATCATTTGTTGAATCGACTGTTTTAAATTGTTTTGCTTTCATGAGATTTTCAGACAGAATTAAATGAATTTAGTTGAAAAATAGTAAATTCTAGGTGCATTTATGGAAAAGATCGAATTGTTGACTCAGAACAATTGGAAGAGGATGGCTGATTGTGACCACTGCTTACTCACACTGTCTATATATATAATGTATATATACATAAATAATTGATATTTCGATTTTAAAAAAAAATAAAAAATAAGTAATAAATAGTTGATATGGCTTACTTTTTTTTTTTGAATTACAATTACATTAAATAATAAGATAAATCAAAGAGGCATATCCTCTGATTATACACGCTACCTGCATTGTAAGGAGGATGCTAGAAGCAAAGAATAACAATATTTAATTATATAACATGTCTTCCAAAATAAGTTTTGATTTAAATAATATTTATTTCCGATTTATTTAGCATAATTGGGCTTTTGGAAGTGGCCCATTTAACTAAAATGTTAATTCACTAACTTCCGTATTTGGTCCAGGTCCAGTTGCAAATAAGTCCAACACGTTACCGCATTGTATTTTTTTAGTGATGTTTTTAACATAATAACTGTGCGATTAGATTAATCGTTCGATTAGGGACAAATGATCAAAATAAATTCTTCTAGAAAATGTATGAGTACTTGGAAGTTTACGAGTTGTCAAAATGAGCTTATAAGATATTAAAGAGTTTATAAGCTCTTTCAAAGTGTTCGGTAACTTTTTTAACGAAAACTTAAAATAATAAGCTGCTCGGGAGCTATGTCCCACCATTCTTATTTAACATCTTATAATGAGTAAAAACCACTCGTAAACTCATTATTCACACACTTCAAAAATTAATTTCATAAATAAGAGGTATCAACGCTTCAAACAATTTAAACACGTAAAAACTTATCAAATGTTTAAAATACATTTAGCCAAACGGATCCTTACTGATTAGGATATATAATGAAAGGAATAATACAATTTCTACACGAAACCTTATTTGAAATATGGGTCTTATATCCCCGCTTAAGCGCAAACGACTTGTTGTCAAAACATTGGTTTATATGAAATTGACTCATGATTACTTTCACCCCCAAAATATTAATTAACACTCTTAAAAATGTATGTTGCGATATAATATATTATACTTGGACTTATTTGACTCCAACACAAAGTCATAATCTTACCAAACTTCACAAATATAATTAATTAATAGTAATTGCAAATGTCCCATCTTTTAACCTTTATAAGCTATTAATATTATTGTTGTAAAATCCGATGTTGTAATTATATACTGATAAAACGAAATAAAAGATTCAAATTCACACAACTAAACTAGCCATAGATTATCATTTGCAGGTTCTAATTAATCAATAATCAATTAGCAGTAATCTATCTTAAAAAAAAATTATTTTTAGCAGTAATCATTAACCACACCCGCCGAAACACATGTTAGTTAAAGCTTCTTAAAATTTGTATCAGCCTCAATAAGAGGAACATGCTTACCAATAATTACGATGATTTGAATTAAATATTAGGGTAAGTAAAAAGAACAACAGGACAAACATAATAAGGTGACTAATCAGGCTGCGTGTACTACAATTAAGGCTGTACTATCAACCTCTCACCAGAATATAATCTTTCAACCTTTTTTTCTTCTTTTTCTGTTTTAATATAACTATTGACTACATAATAGCATCTAATACAATTAAATAAGATCGTTTAGTTGGGGAGATTAGCCATGATTAACTAAGTATTAAGAGGTTGTTTGATGTTCGGTATCCCAAATAACTTACCAGGTCAACCCCATGGCTTATCTTGATTTTTAGGGAGCTTTTTTATTGAAAAGTTCCGGGGTCGATAAAATTATTAGGTATTCACTAAATAATTTATTCTTATTGTGACTAATCTTATCTCGGCAACCAAACGAGAGCTTCTAGGACTATGCACCGCTAGAGGTTGGATTCGGTTTGACCAATGTTGGGTTCCACCACCTACAAATCATGCACCTAATCCAACTTATATTGTATTTTACATAAATAAATAAAATGGTACCTGTCCACATGCCCCTTTTACACATGAAAATAAGATTTTAATTTCTGCATGAAGTGGTTGTGAATACAGATATCAACTCAATAATGCATTTCCCAGCTTTTTACTGTGTTAAAATGGTGAAGTGGTTATTCCTCAAAAGGTCAATGACTTGGTCAACCATGCAATCTCCTTTTCTACCGTTCACACACACACACACACACACACACACTCATCATGTTCATTGTATGGAAGTTAAACAAGGTTAATGATAAAAGTTCATGTATGCTTTTATGACATAGTTTTCACATGGTATCAATGATTGTTTTACTCAAAAAGAAACACAAACTAAATAATATGTTTATGTCAATGAGTAAGAAAGAATTCTGAGAGGGGCCTATTTGTAAAATAGAGAAAATAAAAGGACCTTTACAGGTTGAAGTTAGGCATGTATTAGTCATGGGAAGACAAGGTTGTTGAAACCTAAACACACACAAGAATTAGTATTCTGCCAAGTACCCTCAAATCTCTTTAATTAAAATTAAATAAATAAATAAAATCTGGAAAAAATTCTATGTTTTACCAAACTGTAACTACTCTCTGGTCCCACCATTCATTCAGTATTTCACTCTATTATAAGACACCCTTTTCTCCCACTTTCTAGAAATCAAGAAACCTACATTTTCAAATTCTTGATTTTCAGTTTGAGCAAAAAAAAATGTTAAGACATCTTTCAATCCTCTGTTTTCTGTTCTCTCTCCACATACCATCATCCTACAGCCAATCGTCTTGCGGAAACTACAACTTCGACAAAAACCAAATCTTCAAATCATGCAATGATCTCCCACAGCTGAACTCGTTCCTTCACTGGAACTACGACCAGCCCGCAAACACCGTCAAAATCGCCTACCGCCAAACGGGGGTCTCCGGCCCCCGATGGGTGGCGTGGGCGATCAACCCTAGTGGCCAAGGCATGGCCGGAGCACAAGCACTCGTAGCCTATCAGAAATCCGACGGCAACATAACTGCTTACACATCACCTGTAACTAGTTACCAGACTCAGTTAGCTCAAGGAGATTTGAGCTTCCCAGTTTCGGATTTAACCGCTACTTATTCAAAAAACGAGATGATTATTTTCGCCACACTAAAGCTCGATAATCTCAGCTCTACTGTGAACCACGTGTGGCAATCGGGCCCACTTTCAGGTGATTCTCCGGCCACACACGCTACTTCTGGTCCTAATCTCCAGTCCATGGGGAGCTTAAATCTTCTCTCGGGGGAGACAAAGGCCTCATCGGGAGGCGTAAACTCCGTAACAAAGAAAAAGAATGTGAGTTTTTTTTTAAGATAATGCTTTCCTTTAATTACACATATGTAAAGCAAAATCGAAGAAACATCTAAATATGGTTGTGAATATGATGTAGATTCACGGAGTGCTGAATGCAGTGAGTTGGGGGATCTTGTTACCAGTTGGCGCTGTCTTCGCAAGGTACCTAAAAGTGTTCCCTTCGGCGGACCCCGCGTGGTTTTACCTTCATGCAATCTGCCAAACCTCAGGCTACATCGTCGGAGTTGCTGGCTGGGCTACTGGTCTCCGGCTAGGAAGCCTGTCTCCCGGAGTTGTACAAACATCCCATAGGATCATCGGAATTGTCGTCTTCTGCCTCGCAACTCTCCAGGTATAAATCGAAACTCATTTCATCCCAAGTAACTGAAACAATACTATTTCGACAAAAGATTGACAAGAGGGAGTCAAATCATAACAAAGATTCCTTTTTTTCTTTTTTCTTTTTTTCGGAGACAGGTGTCGGCTTTGCTACTGAGGCCGAAAAAGGAGCACAAACACAGAATCTACTGGAACATATACCACCACTTCGTAGGATACTCTGTCATAGTTCTAAGCATTATAAACATTTTCAAGGGGTTCGACATTTTGAACCCGGAGGAGAAATGGAAGCGAGCGTACGTCGGAACAATAATCGGGGTGGCGTTTGTTGCTGCGGTGCTGGAAGTGTACACGTGGTGCGTAGTTTTGAAGAGGAAAAAGAGTAGCAGCCGCCCTCAGAAGATGGGAAATAATGGGGTTAATGGAACAAATGGTAATGGCTACAATGGATATGGAGCAAGTACACAAGAGAGAGTATGATTCAGATTAGAATTTTCGTGTAAAGCTGTTCGATTTGGCTCTTTTTTTTCCATTTTTTTATTTTGTGCCATGTTTTTTTTCTTGCTGTATTTTCTTGTTGAAAGTGTGATGATGTTTAGGATTTTGTTTATGTAGATTTTGTGTTTGGATAGTTCTATATATATTTATATTTGTTGTTTTTTTAATATAATATTTAATTCTCTTAATTTTCCTGGTAAAAAAATAAAATAAAAAATTAATGATCTTTAGAACAGCATAACTTACCTGAGCACCGGCACTGGTCTCCGACGGAGTATATACAAGCAGAATCCAGCCATGATCGGCGGTGAGAAATCTCAAAAAATTGTCGCCGTCGTCTCTGTCAGCTAATGCCCCACCACCCACACCACAACGGCGATAGTCCAGCCGTCGACCGTCGTCATCCGCTGCAGCGAAGACGGAAAGCGTCAACCTGGATGCCTCTAATCCGCTAGCTGCGGTCGGATCTAAAATCCCCAAAACCCTAACCCCAATTTTTTATTTTTAAAATTACTAGTAACCATGCCCGTGCGTTGCACGGGACATTGATTATTGTAATTACATTTTGGGTAAATTACACCCACACCCCTAAGGTATGCTGAAATAACTTTAAGGTCCCTATGGTATCGGTAATTACACTCACCCCTGAAACATAGTTAGAAACTCTACTGGGATAATGCATTAGATACGTTGTTCCAATAGAGTTCTAACGGACTATTACTTTTAGTAAATGGTGAGAGACAAAATAAAGCTAGGGGGTGACATGGCTCCCTCAATATTTCTTAAATCACCCATTGCACTATGTTGTCTCTATCACTTCCTGAAACTAATAGTTCGTTAGAACTCTATCGGAATAACGTATCTAATGCATTATTCCATTAGAGTTTCTAACTATGTTTCAGGGAGTGAGTGTAATTATCGATACAACAGAGACTTTAAAGTTATTTCATCATACCTGAGGGGTGTGAGTGTAATTTACCCTTATATTTTTAACTCTAAACCAAGTGAGTAGAAAAATATAAGTTAACATATAGGACATAAAATTGTTGAATAATTTAGACATTTATGCAGAGTTAATAGAAACATATGATGTTACATATTCCTAAGAAATAAATAGGTAAAGCCAAAATTCATATTGCGTAGATATATAATAATGGGTTAACCTGATCATCATTGTGTAAATTCAACAGTAGGAAAATGAGTAAAATATCTTATATATAAAGAAAGAAACAATGTGGTAACTTAAGAAATCCTAATGACGTATTTGTAAAAGTAAATTAATTTATGTGTAAATATATTTTTCTAACTCCTATTTTGTAGCTCTCTCGTTTATAATTATTTTAACACCAAATCTCGGCTAGCAGAATCATAATCCACTACATCTATATTTTTTTAGTTATTATTATTATTATTTTCTAGCCTATTTTTTAATAAAAAATATGTGTCATTTATTTAATGATGATTGACAATTAAGTTTTTATAGTTTTTTTACTGAGTTTGTATTAAATCCGTATAAATGTTGATATTGTTATCGATATCACTAATTAATTTTATTATAATTGTAATTATCATGTATTAAACTAATCATCATTTGCATTCATGCTATCCGATGAATCGCGAGGGGGAAAATGCTAGTTAATTTAAAATATGGTGAGTCTTTCAACTATATTATTTTAATTAGAAAACGTAAAATATTTTAGAATTTGTATATCATTAAAGAAAAAACCATGTTAATTTTAAAATAGACCAAACAAATGGCCATTCATTACCGTATTGTTTTGCAACTTACATTAATATTTATGTAGCTATAAATATATTTTCATATTCATAATTTTAAATCGTATACATATTTAATCTTATCTCTAAACCATTATCACTATATACAAAATTTGTTGGAATTTTCAATTTTTGCTAAGTTATTAGTGTAATATGGGCATTTTACATATAAACCCATCAATAGATACTTATTTATAAAGGGGTGCAGACAAAAATTCTTTTACAAAAAAGTCCACCCATGGTCCAGATGTTTGTAAAAGACTAATTAGCTCATCACATTTTAATACGATCCAATTTCATCCTTTAATTTAATTTAATTTCAATTTGACTCCAAATTTCACAAATTATTCAATTTTGACATAAAACACAATTTTATGGACAATTTCGTCCGTCGCCGCCGGTCTCCGGCGTTGACTTTTTTCTTTCCTTCTTCCTCATTTTTCCGCCGGTCTCCGGCGTTGATTTTGTCGATTTTTTCATTTCTTTTTGAATTTTTTAACATCTTTTTGCCCCCCGTTTAAACAACAATATTGCTGTGGTTGACAGTAATATTAACTATATTACTGTTAAACACAGTAAAATTAACTATACTATAGTTTAACACAATACTATTGCTATATTAATCTCTAGCACAGTAATATTAACACAACAAAAGTCATTATTATTGTGTAATAGAGTAATATTAATATGTTGACAAAGGTAAACATAATAAAAAACCAAAAAATTAATATTACTGTAGTTGACAGTAAATCAGTAATAGTACTGTAACAACAATAATATTACCGAAGAAGATGAAGCAAGGTTAAAAAAAATATACTTATAATTTAACATCAAGAATAAAAAAAATGAAAATATGGCACATAATCATGCTGTTTTGCATATTAATTCCTGAATGATTGATGTCTGATGTTGTATCTATTTATTTATTTCGATCTCCTATGAAATGTGCTAGGATTCTGCCAAATACCATCATGAAACATTCAGTGAAACTGAATTTGGTGATCATTCAATCAAGGAAGAACTTTCAGTTCCAGACGATCAAGTAGAAGAAGGTTAAGAGACATAATGTCATGTTCAATCTGCTTCTATCGGTTAAGGTTAACTCACTAAACGTGAGAGAAACATTATAAATTTGTTCTTTTATCCTTTACCATCTAAAATATACTTCTATTGTG